TCGATTGGCGACGAAAAAGAGTTTGTAGACGGCATCAAAGTCTACCTTCGAGCGGCCATTGGCCAGTTCATACAATTAGGCCCAGGGAGCACTCCACCAGCTCTCCCTGCGCGCCCCATCAACCTTCCTCCGCCGAGGGCTCATGAAATTAGGGTACTTAACCCTTCGACAACCCAGGCTCCGGCACCAAAGACGACTTGGGCCACAGTAGCCCGTGCAGGTCTAGGCCGCAGCGCCGGGCCGTCGACTACAAAGGCAGCACCGCCCGCCCCAAAAGCAAAAAGTGCCAATCCGAGGACAAAAGTCGACACGAGACTTTTTCTACGCCTCAAAGCTAACCACCCCCACCGACTCCTGTCACCAGCTGGCGTAAGATTAGCTGTGTCACAGGTGCTTGGTACCGCTGCCGACGACATAACGTTGGTTCAGCGGGTCAAAACAGGCTTTGCACTGACAGCAAAGAACGAACTCGCTCGGAAAGAGCTGCTAGATTCCTCCATGTCACGGAGCGAATCTGGAATCAAACTGGAACCAGCGTCAAATCTGGTTGCCTTGCAAATTGCCACCGTACCGGTGACAATAAACACACTTGCAGGTCCCATCGAGATCACGGCAAAGATGGTTGCTGACGAAGTCACGCGAGTGACGAAATCGGTTCCGTTTCTTGTCCGTCCGCACGGGTACTGCAAGCCTGGGGCGCCATACGAGAACTGGCAAGCCCTCTTTCCTCGCGAGTCCAAGCCCCGACCTGGATTCCGCCTCTTCGACGATTCTGGAGCTGCGAAGCTCTTCCGACCTCGTCCACAACTCGAACAGTGCAAACGTTATCTTGGCTATTACGCCAGCCGCGGATGCTCTTGCGCTCCAGCTTGCTGGAACTGCGGCTCAAAGATGCACTCGGAAGTGGAGTGCAAGGCCCTCACACGATGTCGCAATCGTGGGGGACCTCACCGATCGGACTCTCGGCACTGCCAAGCCAGACCTAGTGCCAGAGCAGCATGTAGACAGCAGGGCTGTAACGGCTGGTAAGCCGATTGGTCCCTGTAGCCTATGTTGGTTAACTTAGGCCTGATTCGAGTGGCGTTATTGATGGCTACCAATGCGCTAATATGCGACGCCACCCAATACAATACTTTTGCGTCGGCATTTGCATGGTATTCACATGGCATCGGACTCGGCAGTGCGGCACGGCAGTACGGCACGGCAGTACGGCACTGCACCACATGTTGATAGGCTTACACTGACTGGGAATATACGAGACCGAGTACAATCCTTCCGGACCATAACGCAATAGTGCTGTATTACAGGCATAGTCAGAACACTAGGGGAGTCCCATAGCATAGGAACAGGAGAGGGATTAGCCTTGGTGGCGAGGAGGCTTTCACGTATATAAATGAATAGATAGATGTAGTGGAAGTTCTCTCCTTAGAATTATTATTTACTACCATCGACCACATAGTTGCCCCAGCACTTGTCCCTCGAAACCGTGACAAGGGCGGAGACATGGGTCAAAGAGGTGGTGTTCAGGCTAAAGGGCGCCATCCTACATTATGCATGAGATAGGTGCATAATGTAGGATGGCGCCCTTTAGCCTGAACACCACCTCTTTGACCCATGTCTCCGCCCTGCTGTCTACATGCTGCTCTGACACCCAGAAAAGATGGACCGGTGACCAAGGAACAGCTCGCAGCAATTCGCAGAGTCGAGCAAGAAAGATATGCAGACTTTGCCCGTGTCAAAGCTGCATACAAAAAAGACGAAGAGGCGAGGAACGCCTCTGCGAAGGACGTCTCCATGGCGGAGGGATTGGGTTTCGGAATTCTAGAAACCGAAGAAGAAGTTTGAGGACTCGGCAGTCCTTGGTGAAGTCTACGACAACTTTCACAACAAAAAGCAGGAAACCAGCCGATAGCAAAGGTTACCTGAGAGCTCATCTTTCGCTCTCAGCGGAGATTAGGAAAAGTCACTTGGAAGATGTGACAGGGAAGGAAAGGGGTGAGAAGCGCGGGATCTGGACCACATATGAAATTCTTCTAAATTATTATTTATTTTTTTCAGTTTATTTCAGTTTTTTGTTTGATTTACGCTTTGATTTTAGTTTTGATTTAAGTTATGTTGTTAACTTCATCTACTTTTGTTGAGGTTCCCGCGGTTGGAATGAGTTGGGCCTGTACGCAGAGAACCCCACCGGCTCCACCAGTCTTGTACCGATAGTGGACCTAGAGCTTTAGCTTAGGACTTTAAAATTAAAAACAAAAAAAAACATAGATTCAAATAAATCTAAATCTTAGGCTAGCTGGTTACTATTTATAGTGTAGGATCCAACTGGTGGAATACAGTCCTAGTTTTGTATCATTTGGGTGCACATGTATTGATGTGACTACACAAACTGCTTGAAACTGACTTCACCATTACTCCAGTTACTTCGATCATTCAGTCTAATGTACGGATGCAGACTGGGACATGAGGAGCCGTGATGGACGTCCAATCTAAAATGGGCTCAATTGTGATTTCCTCCTTTTGAAGTGATGGACTTACACTAAGGATCGACTCCCTGAGTGCGTCTGATGCATACCCCTGTTACAGGCTAGTGCCTTGTTTAGTTATAACCGGAGTTTTTTTTTGCATCAGAATTTAAAGGCATATGCAGCAATCTAGCTATGATAATAACCGGAGTTTATCTCCCAAGTGTTGTGATCTAACGCTGTTCAATCTGCGGACTTTGTGGTGAGCAGTTATTACATCTCACGTGATGGAACACGGGAGCGAAGTAAAAGAGGGGACATGCCCACTAGCCAAATCTAAGCAATTACGGGCACATGTAGAACTGTAGCACATTCTCTGTAGATAGACATAACAAACAATTATCATCAATAATTAAATCAACCTCCACACAATTGAGACCTATAGAAGTGCCAAACTTTCATACAACCCTCAATTGTATAGTCGCAATTGCATCTGTAACGAGCCACCACTGCATTCTAGAATACACTCTCTAACTGTGATAAGCTACACCGCCAGGTCTAGCAAACAAATTACAATACCAAGCACATGATCATGTCCTGCCCCGAGTGGTCAATTGGTAGAGGAAAAATCTGGAGACAAGCCCGAAATCGCTCCTTTGAAGCAATGACCAATAATCCTAATTATATGAAAAGAATCACACGATGGATTCTTAATCATGGTTGGATAGAACAGTTCCGCATGACAAATGCAGTCGAAATGCTGCTCAGGGAACGAGACGGAACATGTAGAAGGCTAGGGTCGATAGAAGGGACGTGATTGGTACACATCGAAGGCGTTACAGTGTAACTGTGCTTCCTGAAGGATAAATTGCAAACTATAAGAATCAAATCAGAAAGCTTGGGGGTTTTTCACCAAGTGGGTTCCTCCTATGTAAATATATAGATAGGTTTATAGCCACCTGCATGGGCCCATGGGGCGCCAAATCAGGATAATGAACACAAATCAAAAAAAATCAAACCAGAGTCTATCCGGTTCATTTGTCGATAGGTCTTGGAGTACATGGCTTGGCTGGATTACAGAGTTGTGTGAAGGATAACTCCTGCATAAATCCACACGCGACGCGCGGTATTGAGTAGATAAGCATGTAGTCTTCGTAATACTTCTTTCTTTATACAGAATATAAATTAATTTACGACATACTTTTATGCGAATAGATAATGTGATTAGTCCCTTCACAACCCCATTGCTATGCCAAACCTAACTTGTGTCATCGCTATTATTGCTGAAGGTGCGTCTCCAGCCTTTTCGGTGATGAGCTTCTTTATTGTGACAGGTGATAATGTCCGTCACTGATGTTCTCGCCCCATACGAAGGAAGAGTCGTTTATCTTCTTTCGGGGGCTCTTGTCCGACTGGTCTTTTCTGCACAACCGGTCTTCGTTTATCAGATTTTCTGGTGGATCTGGGAGCTTGGCTACTTTCTGAGCTACTGTGGCCGAGGAAGAAACAGTCTCCTTGGGCTTTCTTAGCAGCTCATGGAGAGGTTTTTCTGAGGATTTTGTCGCCCTAGATATGGAGGTTTTTAACTGTGTACATTCCAGAGATGGGTTCTTGCCTTGGAGAATTGCGGCATTAGTGTTACCTACCGCAAACGCTGTCACGATGGGTGAAAATCCCAATGAAGGTATCCATGAAAGACGCAACTGAGGCCACGCAGACGATTCCTGCCTTATATTACGCCAAGGCGTCAACATATTGCAGGAAATACTGAGCTAAGCCCATTCGCTGCTATTTAGGCGTTTTGATGTTCGATGGCGGCAGCAATTTCAAGAAGCCTCGGTTGCAGATGGTCGCCTGATTCAATTAACGTCGAGGATGACGGCTGACTATGCATAACTATGATGCTGGTTGATTTCACTGGTTGGATACGGGGAATTATGTACTGATAAGCGTGTACGGCTTAATTGTTAAAGATCTGTCTCACGGATGTCGCAGTATAATTTGCTTATGGCGGTGAACAAGCGCAAGCAGATGATAGACAAAAGTTTGAAATGCTCAGTTGAATTCGTGTGAAGAACTTAGTTGATTCACATCTGGTTTCTTTGACTGAAGTCAAGAAACCTAAGTACTATAATAAACTGCGCATGTAGCAGTCGGCGGTAAGTTGCGCTTTCATTTGGGCATAGGCCCTCAATTGCATCCATTCCAACGCTAGTTATTCATTCTAGGGCACAAGATAGAGGAGAAAACGATCATAACAACTGACGAATCGAAATTCGATTGTGTCCGAAACCACCTACAATAAAACGTGCCCAGTACAATTTAATAATGATTAGGAAAGGACTTGTGGCATGACTGACATCGTATTTATACTCCGGAAACAGCTTTTTCGCTAGATGACCAATCAAAAGAGCGCCAATTGCTGACCTCACCATTCCCGGAGCCCGCTAATCTCAAATCAATCCGACAAGTCAACAACGGTATCGTCGGGCCAGATTAGTTGTAGGTGAACCATCGAGACGGACATAACATAAAATGTTGCGGCGTAGTCTGTTACATTCGGTCCGTCGGACAAGCAAATACAACAGCTATGCCACACCCAGACTCGCAAAGTTTGCGACAGGCTGTAGTCGGCAGGCCGATGTGCAGCTCACGATAGGTAAGACGCATCAATTCAAAGTCTTGTAATAGCTTAAAGTAGTTGACAACTATACAGATGGAAAGGAGGTTTCAGTCGAAGGTTCGTCTGGCTGTTCGTGGACAACTAGGCAAGGACTAACCTTAAGATAGCTGGCTCTGCACTGATACAGGCTTGCGAGAAGGCTGGAATCGTCATACCTAGGTAGTATTTTTCAATCATTCTTAATTTGTGGTAGAACTAATGTGATATAGATATTGTTACCATGAGTAATATCTCTAGAATTATCTCATGGATTTTGTTAACATCTGCTAGAAAACTTATGATTGCCGGGAATTGTCGAATGTGTCTGGTTGAAGTTGAAAGAGTGCCAAAACCGGTGGCTTCATGTGCCTGGCCTGTACAGCCAGGTATGGTAGTTAGAACTAATTCCCCATTAACTCACAAAGCCCGAGAAGGTGTGATGGAGTTTTTGCTAGCGAATCATCCGTTGGACTGTCCTATTTGCGACCAAGGTGGAGAATGTGATTTGCAAGATCAATCTATGAGGTATGGTGCAGATCGAGGACGATTCCACGAGATAACTGGCAAACGCGCAACAGAAGATAAGAATATTGGACCATTAATCAAAACCTCTATGAATAGATGTATTCATTGCACAAGATGTATTCGATTCGCTAACGACATTGCTGGAGCTCCGGAGTTGGGATCCACAGGACGAGGAAATGATATGCAAATTGGGACCTACTTAGAAAAAAATCTGGACTCCGAAATGTCTGGTAACATCATTGACCTATGCCCAGTTGGAGCTCTCACATCTAAACCATATGCATTCCGTGCGCGCCCATGGGAACTTAAGCATACCGAATCCATTGATGTCCTTGACGGTCTTGGATCCAATATCAGAATAGATTCAAAAGGATTAGAAGTCATGCGAATCTTACCAAGATTAAATGACGATATTAATGAGGAATGGATCAACGATAAGTCCCGATTTGCTTGTGATGGTCTAAAAACTCAAAGGCTCACAACTCCTCTCATCCGAAAAGATAATAAATTTTTACCCGCCACTTGGGAGGTTGCGTTAACCGAAATTTCGGCAGCTTTCCGAGACTTTGCTCCTAAAGGGAACGAGTTCAAGGCCATTGCAGGAGAACTAATTGAAGTCGAATCAATGGTTGCGCTCAAAGATCTAGCTAATAAGCTTGGATCCGAAAACTTGACACTCGACCAGCCGCTAGGAAACCGACCTATCGCTCATGGTATCGATATCCGCTCCAACTACCTATTTAACTCGAAGATCACAGGTATCGAAGAGGCAGACATCATTCTCATCATTGGAAGTAATACCCGCCATGAAGCGGCCGGACTCAACGCGCGTATTCGGAAACAATGGATGCGTTCTGACCTCGAAATTGGTGTCGTCGGTGAGACCTGGAATTCAACTTTTGACTTTGAACACCTCGGTAATGACACACTTGCCCTGAAAAATGCACTATCTGGGGCCTTTGGGAAAAAACTTACTACTGCCAAGAGACCAATGATTATTGTAGGCTCTAGCGTGGTTGAACACGAAGACGCAAGATGTATCTTTGAGATTGTTGGGACTTTTGTTGATAAAAATAAGGCATCATTTTTATCGGATGAATGGAATGGCTACAATATTCTTCAACGGGCTGCATCTAGAGTAGGAGCTTACGAGATTGGGTTTACGACTCCATCTACGGCTGTAGCTGAAATAAAGCCAAAATTTGTCTGGCTCCTCGGTGCAGATGAATTCTCGCCAAGTGAGATTCCTAAAGATGCCTTCGTTGTCTATCAGGGCCATCACGGTGATCGAGGTGCACAGATTGCTGATGTAGTACTACCAGGTGCTGCTTATACAGAAAAAACAGGTACATATATCAACACTGAGGGTCGTGTACAAATGACCCGCGCTGCAACTTCATTACCTGGTGTAGCCCGCACAGATTGGAAAATAATTAGAGCTGCTAGCGAATTTTTGGGAGCTCCTCTACCATACGATGATGTCGTAGCCATTCGTGATCGGATGGCGGATATTAGCCCATCTCTCACTAGCTACGATGTTGTCGAATCTGTTGCCCTGAAGAATCTAAGTAAAGTGCAGTTGGTAGATCAAAATATTGGAAGCAAGTCTACTGGCCGGCCACTTAAGAATATCGTGGGAGACTTTTATTTTACGGATGTAATATCTCGGAGGTTTGTTCTTAGTATCTAAACCTGAGTTAGGCTAACCCAAATATAGCTCACCTACAATGGCAAGATGTTCTGCCGCGAAGAAGACTGGGAACCCAGAAACAAACTTCATGGCTAGCGGAATTTCATCTGATCATCCGCATGGTCAGATAAGTTATGGAATGTGATATTATTTTTTATTTCTTATAATATTGTTGTGGGATTTTAACTGTACATATAGGCTGCTACAATAAATAACAACGCTAGAAGGTCCAGACCACTGCCAGCTACAGCCCTGCGCGACTTTTGCAGTGAGACTTGTCAATTTTTAAATGACTTCCAAGTAGGCGTATATTATACGCTCGTCTCCGTAACCCTCAGAATGGGCGTGCTAGTTAAAGGGTAACCAACAACTAAATGTAGATAAATATATGCAATTAAATCAAGTAATAAAATTCTTTAGTTTTTAAGTTTGACATATTCCTATACTGGTAGAGAAAATTTCTTTCCTTTCATGACCTTGGTGTAATAAATCCAGAAGAAATCTGAGTAGAGAACCGTTTGAACAAGACCTGCAATAACCGATATCCCATCAAAGTACCCTTCAGACCAGTATCGCCAAACCCAGTTAGGAATGTATAGCGCACGATATGTCCCCAAAGCAGCCAAATAGTGTACAGTAATGGTCTCAGCTTCCCCAGTGCGTTGTAGAAGGAAAAGTTGCGGTAAAATTGCAACTGATTCAAGCCATATTGAGAAAGCCCATAAGATTTCTGAGGGTGTGTATGTGTAGGGCCAAATTATGGCGAGCGCAAAAGCACCACCAAGAAGGTACTGAACTCGAAAGGTGTCAAGGTTTGGATCATGAGTGGGTTTGTATGCGGTTGTCATAACATAGATGGTGTACCCAGAGGATCCGAGAAAGAGTAACTTGAAAATTGTGTTGTAGAGACTGTCTCCGAAGGTCCAAAAGAGGTCAAGATATCGTGTCATATAAACCATCTGGTAAAGTGCTTGCGATTTAAAGGATATACCGGAACATGACTGGCAAAAAATTAGTCTGTTTCATTTGATTTTCCAGGTCTTTGGTAGGATAAAAAGAGGCGGAAATGAGCATACGTTAGTGACATGCATCTTGTGAATTAAAATGAGTATTGAAAGCAAATGGGATAAATCCCCTACATCAAATATGTTAGCTCTCAATTTGGACATGTTCTTTATCATGAAGCTTCCTACCTAGCAGCCGAAATATATTCATGATGAAGGGAATTAATTATCTCTGCTTGGTTTGCGTAGGCTGGCTGTGATCGCAAGATGATAAGGGCTGATCAATTGATGACAGGCGTACGTTAGCAAGTCTTTTTTCAGTGCTGTCATTTTCCGTCCAAACACTACTATCTCCGGCTAAGGCCAACTAAGCTCAGCCAAGCACTACTTGACCCATCTGGGCCGGGCCCTGTGGATTTAGATGAACAAACATTAGAGTCCTATATTCACTAATAATTATCAACGTTTATGTATTTAAATGTTTTATGCCCATTGGCTCTAGCCCGTCTATTTGAACATAAGTTTATTGTGCTTTAGATCACCTAGGTTCACAAACAAATTATGTCTACCAACGAAGATTCCCTTGTTTCACTGAAATTCACACACCATGGAACTGCATACATACAATATTTCACCCCGAATTCTACCATATCGGATTTTTCCTCCAAGATCGCAGACGTTCTGCGAATACCAACCTCAAATCAAAAATTAATGATTTCCAAAATTGGCTTTCTCGTCCCGCCTTTTAAGGACCCACAGCTTTTGCTATCCTCGATACAAGGAAACAAGATAACCGTTATGGGTAGTACTGATAATGAGGTATCAAAAATTGTGACAGTTGCCGGAGAAGCGGCTAGAGATGAATACCACCAGAATAAACCTCTACAAAAAGTTAAGGCGTACAAGACACGCAATTGGACCAAGGAGCAGGATGAGAACAGGTATACCTTCTTAAATCTCAAACCCCTACCATACTTAAATAACCCTTCGCGATCGCTTCAGCTTCTACAGAGGTTGAAGGATGACGCCGGTATCAAAGCTGTAATGTGTAAGCATAAATTCACTGTACCAATGTTGACTGAAATGAACCCTATCGAACACACTGAATCCAGTCAAGATGGAATTTCTAGGACATTGGGTCTTAATCGAAACAAAGGAGAAGTGATTGAGTTACGTCTAAGGACTGATGCATACGATGGTTATCGAGACTATAAAACAATCCGCAAAGCTCTCTGTCATGAGCTGACACACAATGTGTATGGTCCACATAATCGTGATTTCTGGGATCTTTGTGGTCAGATCGAAAAAGAAGTTGATGCAGCTGATTGGAGGACCAGTGGTAGAACTGTCGGAAATATAAAGGCACCCGAACATAGATATGGGCCAGCTAGTTCTGGCTACAGTGTAGAAGGTCACAAACTTGGAGATTTTACCCCAAATATTGAGCATTCAACAAGTCAACTACTTGACAGACGAGAAATCTTTGCAAAGGCTGCAGAAGATCGCTTAAAAAGATCGCAAAAACAAAATGATGAAGAAAAATAAGAACACTGAAAAAGGAGATAGGACTCCTTGTGATGTGAATATCTACAAAGAAAGCTACAAACATCTCAATACCCCTCTAGATTGTCACTCCGGCGCCCTTAAGTTTGATGTCTTTCGGCTTGATTTGGCATACCAAAGACGTTTGCAAGCAATTTTGAAGTCTAATAGTTATACAAGAGGAAAATATTACGGTAAACACTTTGCCTTCGGAAATTAGTTCTGCATATATAATAAGGTTATTCCCGGGAGGCGCTACTTTACTGAAAAGTCTAGGACGGAACTAGATTTATTCCGAATTCCCGTTTAAAATTTTCTCATTTTTAAAATATATTATTCTTTTAAGTAATTCGATACTGTTATTACTATTTTTATTTCTAAAGAACCGATTGATTCTAGTTTCTCGTGAACTTTTGATCACAACCCCAAAAAGCCTATCATATGACTCATTTGTAATGACCTCCCATTTTGATCATTCCAAGCATGCAGATATATATGCTTCGAATTTTGCGAATAATGTCCATGTAGAAGTCCCAGATTGCTAGCTCGAGTGACTTTTCTACAATACGCTCGCTCTTGATTTTTTGTTATCAATACCTCGGACTCTACTTAAGTTTCACTGAAGCAAAATGGAGCTTCTCTATAGGTTGACCCTCGTCGGTTACAAGGGTATGAAGATTCACTGCCCCGGGTTTGGATTCTGTAGATCGGATATATCTCAAGTGGGATTCCTGCTTTGGCTCGTCCTTGAGTCGTACCACCTCTGAGATATTGTATTCTTGTAGTCTTCTGTCATTTATAGAGTAGAGCCTCTATACAAGTTCTTATCCTTTCCGCTTCATGCTCTATCCTGGCTAGACCGTATGAAAATGTTCACTTCTTTTAGACAGCTCGAAATTTGTACAGGTTTAATTGAGCGTCTATTCCAAGTGAGAATTAGTCGATGCGTACGCCTCTTAGGTCTACCTGTACTTGAGACAGAGCCCCATCCAGAGGATATAACGCTTAATGGTCAAGCCCCTGTTGCGAGTATGTGTATAGGTTTCATTACAAAATACTTCGAGATTGCTGTAGTTACAGTATATTTACTGCACTACTACCAGGATTTGGTGCCTTGCAGCTAAGATGAGACCTAATATAGCCTGATTTTTATCGATTCTGATTCATCTCAAATAAAGGCCTGCGATCATATTCGTTGATCGTCTTACAGGCCGATTTACTATTTTTTTGAAGTAACTATGTGTGTGGTTAGTGCAAGGGCAAGGCAAGCCAGTCAAGGTTAAACTTTAGAGTCTAATCAATTACTGTCTGGGATAATCTACGTCTCTATATACGAGAACTTGATCCTTAATTACAGGCTACGGTCCCGGTTGTATGGGCTCGTACAAATACTCGACAAACATACAAAAGTTGCCTAGATAAGTGTATTGTTAAGCGCCATGTCGATGCACGCCGTATGTCTTGCACTTACACCCCCATAAGCGCTTCGATGCGCACGGCATAGCGTGGCAAATTAACCTGAATTGCTGGTGAAATCTAGATGTGGTATTAAGTGGATTGATGGCGTGTAAGTCTTGTAGGTAGATAGATAAAAGGCGGCTAGGGCTGAAGGAAGATAGGGACATGTATTTTACTAACTTTATTGATCAATCATACTTATTCTATCATTCATCACAGTTCATTCAAGTCCTTTGCGGTAATCGACAAACACTCCATGGGACTATTCTCAACACCTGTCAGTGGTGTCCCCTACTAACCTCCAGCTCTCACTGTAGAGTCTGCAGAACCGAGATTGAGCGACAAAGTCTTCACTTCGATGAGGATTCCCAATCGCTTTCGCGGTTTGTATCGTCTTCATCTCTCAACACGTAGGGCAAGACAGAACACCTGTACGCGGTGTCCTCTACGAACCTGGGAGTGAAACATTCTCCCAGAGCCAAGTTCAGTCAAATTTCGCAATATCAAAGGAGTTGGCCCACGAGGCGTTGATTCAAAATACTCTGCCATGTCATTTTTTCGCTCCCAACGAGTTCGACTCCTACCCAAGTCTCATCAAGTCTACAAGTACGACCAAGTACATCCTCATCCCAATGAACACACCTCCCTTCGACCTTCTCTGGCCTCAGTTGACCACCAAATACACGCCCACGTCGATATTTATACCCGACGGAGGAAGCAAAGCGTGGCGCACAAATCTGGGAGACGGTTCTTTGGGATGGAAGTGAGAGTGATCAGGACAAGTTTACAAGATGATGCAACGGAAGGATATAACCTCGACGGGCGTGTGATTTTGAATTTTGGCAAGGAGTTTTTCGAAGTGGGCTTTGTGCGCGCCAAGACTTCGCTTGCGAGAGTGCAGCTGACACCATAAAAACAAGCAAACGATGGAAGGTGTTGTGGCCTGCCTCCAGGTGGTGTGTGTGTGTGTGTGTTTTATTGTACTACTTGAGTCTATGACTATCTAGCACATTGGGCTCCTCTCTGACCCAGGCCACACCTTGTACAGTGCTCCTATCCTCTTTTGTTACTTGAAAGATCATTGATATATTCCCCTTGATGAATAGCCATTCAGCTCAGTATTTACCCGTGGAATTCAGCCACCTTTTCCACGGAACCTTCTACCCAAAAAAAAAAAAGGTAGCAATGGAAACTGCGTGCGCGGGAAAAAGTCTCAAAAAACCTGCAGCCCCAGCCAGGCGAGGCCTAGACACCGGGACCACATGAGGTGCGCATATTCATCTAAATCTCCCTTCTTTGTAACAGTCGAGGTCGACTTTATCCAATCCACCATCTCCGTATCGGGTGCTGGGTACGCTCCGGAAACTCATCGGATGGCTTTTCCTCCATGATCAAGGGTGGGTGACGAGTAGGGCTCCGACCCTACCATCTGGTCTGATCGTGCTTAGCTTCATGATAGTGGTGATAGGAGAATGTGTTGAGAGATGAAGACGATACAGACCGCGAAAGCGATTGGGAATCCTCGTCGAAGTGAGGACTTTTTTACTCAATCTCGGCTCTGCAGACTCTACAGTGAGAGCTGGAGGTTCGTAGGGGACACCACTGACAGGTGTTGAGAATAGTCCCCCTCCAGGTGGTGTTCTCTGGTATAGTTTGAGTAGCCTGGGCACCTACTCCACTTTGGAAGGAGACATCTCAGATTACATTTCGCGCGGAGGAAAGTTGATGGATGATGGAGGCATGTCTGGATAACTCAGGGTTTTTGAGACGTTCCCCTGGGTGGGTATTCACGGATGAGGGTTGACTTGGGGTGAAGAAAAAGGTACCATAACTTCGCAGTGGTACTTGCAAATGAAATCTGAGGCATGAGTGCACTTCCTTTACGTTGAATCATCTGTTCTGTACTTTTCTTTGATATTGTGTCATAGCTAGATAGCTGCATACGCAATTAAAATCTGATGCAAAAAAAAAAAAAATCTCTCAATGCAACCCCCCTATCACCAGTATCATGAAGCTAACCACGATCAGATCAGATGGTAGGGTCAAAGCCCTAATCATTACCAATTCTTTATCATGGAGGAAAAGCCATCCGATGAATTTCCGGAGCGTACCCAGCACCCGATACAGAGATGGCGGATTGGATCAAGTACGCCTCGAGTGTTTCAAATGAGGGAGATATAGATGAATATGCGCACCTCATGTGGTCCCGGTGTCTAGGCCTCGCCTGGCTGGGGCTGCAGGTTTTTTGAGACTTTTTCCTGCGCACGCAGTTTGTTACAGTTATGGGTTAGGATGTATCACCATGATGCTGACCTTTGACTGTTGGGATAGCTTTATTGGGAATAAAGTGTGGAAATGATAATGATAATGATATTTTTATCGTGACCGGGTACTGACCCAGCACCCAGGGGGCATGGCACGGGTAGTCCAGATCTATATAAGACTCTTCGCTACCTACATGATTGGTTCATAGGAGCCAGAAATACAGAAACAAAACAAATAAAAAGAAAAAACACCATTTCTGAGGTGCTAGCGCCCTGCACTACAACTCCATCCTCGTGCCACATTGAGCGGCCCTAAGAAGCAATACAGCTGACATTCAAGTTCCCTGTTTATGATTCAATTTTGCTGTAACATTTTGTTACAGCTAGAAAGCGCCAGAATATCTGCCATCCTTCTTGCCCTATCATATCCCTTGTCGTAGGTCGTGGTTCCTTCGTTTCCGTCCTCCATTTCTGGATGGTCGGGCGACACTCTGCAAAATGCCATAGCCGCTTTTCTCGGCCACAATTGCAAAGCATTTCTTCATTCGGATGTTGAAATCGTCTGTGATAGCTAGCGAAATCACCATGCCCAGTCCTTGCCGCAATGAGGCGGTGATATGCCCATCGAGGTAAAGCTAGCTCCGGAGGGCGTTTTCTTCGCATCAGTAAGTCCAGATCTTCATACCTGTCCGATCTATTTTTATGCCACCAATCTTCCGCGAGTTTCTGTACTCGTATTGTGACTTGGCGTTTAAGTGCTGCGAATGTCAGGACTTTGTCAGATTCCTCCTGAGTGCACTCTGGTCTCGGGATATTTCCTTCCCTGGTGTCAAATTGGAGCGTTGGCGTTTGACCTGAAGTGGAATAGAAGGGCGAGAAGGGGTCGGATGGATCGCGAGGGATGACTAAAGATCTACTGGAGATAATTTGGAGAACTAAAGGTTTAAAAATGGGTAATATAAGTGTCTAAAGAGTCTAAAGAGTCTAAAGAGTCTAAAGAGTCTAAAGAGTCTAAAGATACGAGTAAATACTAGTGGTGGCTAAAGGTGCTAAAGGTAACTAGAGGTGACTATAGGTGACCAGAGGTGATCCGAAGGTGGTGGTTATGACAGAAGACTAAGCGTGAAGAACTCTATAGCTACAGGCCAAGCCATCATACATATACTTGCTTTCCTCCCACTAGCTCATCATAACATAGGCCCTAAACTAGTGCCAACATAATAACCAATGCCAAGAACTGTTCTGTTGTCATAGCAACATCAGGAGAAGGGTAAAATTATA